CGAGTGCGGGCCGGGGCGCTTGGGGGGATTTAGCAAGTGGTCTATTTCGGCGCCGTGCAGTGGGGGACGGCGGGTGTGCCACTGGGGCGCGTGTTAACCTCGCCCCCCCCCCCCCCCCCTTCCTCCCTCTTTTTCACGCTGCTTCGCGGCGACAGTCTGCGGATGCCTCATTCCAAAATATTAACCCACCTTGGGCCACCCCTACAAGCTGCCCCGAAGCGCTTCGCCGGTGGCCCAAGTGTACACCCTAGCTCCGCGCTGTTCTCCACTGTACATCGGTTACTAAGTGTTACGTCACCCCGTCGCTCTCTATAGCCAGCCGATCCTGTGCGGCCGCCGTCCTTCATGCACCCGCTAACTGACCTCATTTTAACACAAACTACAGCGCACTACTGCAAAAGAACATTCACTCCTTACACACAGAAAAGAAAAGACAATTTAAACGAACCGCGCTGCTCGTTTGAATTTTCCTTTCTTTTTCGTGTGTAAGGAATGAGTGTACTTTCGCAGTGGCGCGCTGTAGTGTGTGTTAAGAGCAACCAACTTGCCCAAGCTGCTACGTTGACCTGATATGTTTGCACCAGGGAGAAGAGATGATTCGGGAATGCTCTCTCTGCGGAAAAGTGTTCAGAGATGCTACCGCATTTCTTCTAGAATCAGCATAATAACAGCAGCCGTTTTGACTTTTTTTTTTTTCGCCAAACAATTGGGCTTAAAGTGGAGGCCAATCCGAGGCGTGTAACACACCTGCCCGCCGATGATACTTAAATGGGAATTTTTTTGGTGCGGACGTTTTATTCGAAAGACGTCTGCACGACCTGATGGGACACGCAACCTTCAGAGATTTTTTCAGCTTGCTGAAGTCATGTCTCGTCTCGGGTACGAACTGGGTCATGCATTTATGGATGATATTGGGGAACGGGGACGGAGAGACTGCAGTACGAAGCAACCGCGGATAAAAATAGCCATGTTTACGTGGTCCGTGGACGTGCGAAAACACATGGGCACGGTTCATGGAAACCATAAAGCGGTTTCAACTAACAAGTTAGAGTTTATAGAAGCTGCGACGTGCCGCGTATATGTACATTCGAAGTACTCAAATTAGGCCCTAATTAATTTTGTTTTATTGCTTTATTACTGTCGAACGCAATTTATGTAGAGATCCCCTGGAAAAAGTAGTTTATGGAGTTCGCGACTTTTCGACGATGCCGACAAAGAACGCCCGCATCAAAGTTCATAACCAATTTGCATCCTTATGATCCACATGCGAACGGTAATTAGACCGTGTGTTTGTCTTATTGAATTCCCGTCTTGTTTTTCCTTGACTTTTCGCGAAGCGCCGGTCTAGTGAGCGGCAGGTCCGAACGTGCATACACAATTCAAATAACAGAACGGACAGCATTTACGCAGTTTTCCTTCGTATCAAATTGAATGTGACGAGCTTGTTGACAATAAAATTGTGTACTTCTATTTTTACGTGCCAGAACTTGAACGAAATGCTGAAAAGCATAAATAGGGGTGGTTTTCGGCTTGTAAAGTGAGGTATATTGTTCCAAACAAGCAAAACGTGTACGGATTATAACCTATCCTACAAAATAAACAAACATTCTTATAGAATTTGTCGAATAAATATATGAGAACTTATAAAAATTGTAGTTTAGTATAATGGTATGTAGGTTCTGATGCCATTTTATATCTTCTTGTATGTTTCAAAAAGCTTTATGTGTAGGTAATATTTTTCACTAGGTTAGCCAGATCTAGACAAAGCAAACCCCTGTTTTTACAAACATAGCAAACGCATTGTATCAATCTAGTCCTATGCGGTGTTCAAGTTGCATCGTATGAAAGAGAGAGAGAGAAAATAAACTTTTATTATAACGGCTCTTTGTCTGGATCGTCGCAGCCGTCTGAGGCGACTCCTCGCGTGGTACACTTTTCTATGCCATCTATATTCACTCAGCTTTTCAACGTAAAATTATATCAGCCAGAAACCAGCAACAATCACTAGCTCGTCCATGCTTCCACCTTAAAAGAACGACCGACCAGTTCGCGCTTTCCACTTTTCCCTCGTTTCTTCCTCTCCCCCTTCTACCCTGTCCACCGTTGCCTATTTCCTCCTCCCCCATGGTGAGGAGGATCTTCTGCCTTGCAGAATCTCGAGTCTGGTCGTCGGCCTTTAAGTCCAGACGTCAAAGCGGGTTCACATCACGTCTTCGCAAACGTCACGTTGCCGTTCCGCGGTGTGTGACCTCAAGCAAGTAAACACTATCTTGGTACGTCAATGAAAGCAGTGGCGTAGCCAGGAGGCTTATGGAGCTTCAGCCCCCTACCCCCTCCCAAGCCCAAAATCCAGCAGCTGACCTTTAATATACACATACATCTTATCCCCCCCCCCCCCCCCCTTTTCCCAGTACCTCACCTCACCTCCACCCCCCCCCCCCCCCCCCCCCTTCGAACAAAATTCCTGGTTACGCCACTGATTGAAAGATAACTTCCGCCGCCTCTTCACCCAAATATATACGTGTGAGGCGCTGGGAAAAATCGCCAGTGCTCAGCTGTGGGATATCAAGCGAAAGTTATTTGAACAATGTGCAACTACAGTCGACCTGAACCAACTTACTGAGCAACCGTGTGACGTAACCGCTATAACGCAGAATTAAGGGCTGGATTTCGTGCAAGAGGCGTTACGTTCGAGCGTAACGAAAAACCGCTACTTGCAGGACAAGGCAACGTAAAGCACATGTAGCCCATAGCGCAGGCTTACTTATTTCTGCTTATTCATGCTTAGGTAATTGTAGTTAGGTAAATTTACCAAGCGGTGCAGCCAAATTCGAAATCCCGACCGTGCGATGTGCAGTCTGGTGTCTTTGCTCAGTGCAGCAGCAGAGGAACTTGCGGGACGTATTTCACTGATGTGAGCCTATACGGCAGAAGAAAATCGTAGGCTCACGCAGCTGTGCCAATGATGCTGCACACCCAGCAGCACCAATGGGTGGCGCAGCGGGCATATGACGTCACGCATAATACACGCGTAACAAATTCTGTGCTCCCGGAGTTCGTCAGAATGATCGAGGAAAGCTTTAATTTCTAGAATCATTAGTTCGTTGATATTAGTTATAGTCCTTGAGCCCGAAACCAAATGATAATAGTTTATTTGTGAGCCCAAAGCGTCGTAGACGTGAGCCCGGACATTTGACAATGAAGACACTCCATTTTTTTAAAGAGAATGAACTCGATTGCTTGCCTTTTTCTCGTATTTTGTCATTTCTTCTCCGTAGGCCACGGGGAGTTAAGCGCCCCTTCAAGGTCCGTCTCGTCTAACCCCGGACCATGTCGCTCGATAGTCCCGACTCAAACTCTTTGCAAGCTGGTTTCGACGCTCAAACTCAATTTCCCCGCAACAAATCTGATTTTATTGTACTCACGCAAAGCCTCCCCCGACCCCCAGCTCCTTTCCCCCTTTCCTCTTCCTAAAGTTCCACCGACGCCAGTAGCGCTTATTTGCATAAAAATGAGGCGCTTTGGCCGTTGTGGGTCTCGTTCATATTCATCGCCTCCTTGGCAGTCGGCCTCGACACCCCCGTCGCAGTGCATACAAAACGACCGGCTTCTTCCATCGGCCTTTCTTTCCACCTTTTTATTTGTCTCATCTTTCCGCGCTTTCATCACTCGCTCATTAACCGTCACAACGAGGCTTCGGCGGTGGCGACCCTGGTATCTTTGTTTGTCGTACTGCTTCGAACCGCCGTTGAACCCGGTTGAAGGAAAGAGCGGCCTCGCTTCAGACTCTATGCACTTTAAGCCCTAAGCTTAGTAGCTGGATCGCGTCGTCGGGAGGGTAAGCTCTCGTTGTAACGAACCTATAGTCCTCAAACTGGAGCCGCTGGAATAACTTCAAAAACTTCGTTCCGCCTTTGGTAATTCGAGAAGCTTCCATTTCGTACCCCAGTTTTAAAGGGGTCTTTAAAGTAGCTCGATTTATTTGGGTTGAACGTAAATATAAGCAGAGAGTCAAAATGCTGTTTATAAGCAGGCAGCGACTACAGACCGAGTTAGAGTTGTTGGGAAGAGCGTACATGTTCGGGAATTCGGGAATTTTTCCTTTCGGACCCTGCAGTGTTCAGGGTTTCTTGCGAGCGGCTCGGTTTATTCGGGTTGAAGCTCAATATAGGCGTGAGAATAAATATGCCGAGATAATTTGTGCGTAGAAGGATCAGCGATTCGAGCTATAGTAAGCTGTGCTTGCCATATTCGAACTTCGTGATCCGTTTCCCGGCCTTTTTAGCGGATAATTCCGATTGACTGTGGAGCGGTATTAAGATGCCCGGTACCCGCTGCACCCTGCGTGTTTTGAACTGCCACTGACAATGGATTCGCAACAGACTGAGTGGTCGACGCGAGCTTTTATGTTGTTATCCGTTACCCGAAAGCATCAAATGGTACAAAACGCGCGTCCCATTGCACGAGTGCCAAACAACATGGCCGCGACAAGACGCAACTTTAGCTCTTGAAAAGTGATTTCAAGTCCGCTCAGTATTCCCGTGAAAAATAGCTCTCACCAACTTCTGAAAGATGCCAGCTGAACGTGGGAAGATACACAGAGAGAGAAAGAGAGAAGAAATAAAAGGACAAACACACTGCTGGAGCTGGTGCTTTCGGAAGAATAAATCACCAACTATCTCAGTTACTAGCACTTGAGCTAACCTTTCGATTTTAGTTGTCTGGATTTTCCTCTTCATCTCTACGGGGAAATATGTTGATACTCAGAATATACCTTTCTTCCTCCACGGCCATGTTGTATCCGAGAGTGGAATAAACAAATGCAGATTTGTGAACAGAGAGTAATTGCAAGCCTGATCGCCGAATAAGCAGCTTTAAACTCGGCTGGTGGCGCCTGGAACATCAGAAGTGCAAAAAGGTTAACCAGTTAGATCCAGCATTCCGATTTCTGACTCGGCGATGATGCATCGTGACCGTCTGTTTCCACGTCTTGTGTGCAGTGGGAGCTCCGAGATCGCGACCGCAGCAGCCTTTCGTGATCTACAGGCCCTCCCTGCCACGACCAGACGGACAGGAAGACGAAGACTCCGGCTCCAGCGAGCGGGGAACGACGGCCACGTCCATCGCAGCCAACACGTACCACCACAGCTCCGGGTAAGATGCGGAGCTTTCGTGTCCCACTCCGTAAACTTCTTATAGACAGGCAAAAAAAGAAAAGAAAGAACCCGCCATGAGAGCGTGTAAGTAGATCGCTTTTGCGCGCTCCGATAACGATACGATATAACAGTAGAGAGTTTTAGCGTGGATCGCTTCGATTCCTCGGATAATGATACCCGACTCTCCGCCGACGCCTTTGCGCAGTGGGGATCGTACCGTTATCGGGCATCGTCTTCGGCAGTATTGGATCGACGTATACTACAACTCCTTAATTCGATGCATGTGCAAAACTCCGGTGAAGCACAGTACCGTCATCGAAGTCACTGGAACAATTTACTAAATAAAGAGATAATAATAATAATAATAATAATAATAATAATAATATTTTATTTCCATCACACTCGATGGCGGCGACCAAGGGAAAAAGCTGCATACACAGCTTGACGAGCCCTGGAGCGCCTAGAGTGCACGGCGACGGAACACAACAGGAAACAAAAAAAAAAAAGACATACACACAGAGGTTGCAACACGCAAAAATTCACCATGGCAGATAAAGCAATATAATCAAATACGAGAACAGTGATTTTAACTAGTTATCATGACCACCCATAATATATAATGAACGGATTTCCCCTATTGACATTTTATTCCAGTACAAGTTTTTCGATTCGTAAAGATTTAGTAAATTAGGAATATTGTGCTTCAGCATTTGAGTGCCATAATTTGTTCTTGGCGTGACCACCCCCCAACATTCAGCGCCACGAGTAGGATAAGTAATAATATTTTTTGAGAGGCGGCCAAGGGTTACCAGAAAGTTTGTGTTCCTAATTAGCTGTATCTTAAGGCTTGTACTGAGCCTGTAAGAATACAAAGTGTGCACATTGATAATGCGGAACTTTTTGAATAGGTCGGATGTATGCGACTGAAATGGGACATCGGCTATGGCTCTTATTGCTTTTTTTTTTTTTTTTTTTTTGTAACAAATGTATTCTTTCAAGATTCGTTGAAATGGTGGTACCCCAAACTAGATTACAATAATTTAAGTGCGAGTAGAACAAGGAATTATAAACTAGTAACTTGACGTGTATCGCTAAGGTATAACGATGGCGGTTTAACATGCCGACAGTTCTAGACAGTTTTGTAATAAGGTAGTTAACATGTTCATCCCACGACATATTATCCGAAAAAATGACGCCTAGAATTTTGAAGGAATTTACAATCTCAATCTTGGTTGAGTCTAAACTGAGATCTCTCGTAGTCTTGATTATTTTATTTTTAGAGCGAAAGAGCACTACTTTTGATTTTTCTGTGTTTATTTGAAGTGAATTATATGCACTCCACAAATTCAACCCGGAGAACATTCGGTTCGCCTTTTCAAATAATAAGTCGGTATTTTATGCAGAGAAAAATATACTTGTGTAGATAGATTATGTATACTCCCTATTTTCGAGAGACCGCGAAATCGAGGCCGCCGCTGAAGATTTGGGGGAGTACGATGATTGGGTAGAAAAAGAGGGAAATTGAGTGAACGTGATTGGTCCCTTCTCGACTTGATACGATTCAGTCGTTTTCATGTAAAGAGAGCCATGGACACCCTGTGCTCAATCTCAAGTAAGCGCAACTAAGGGGCATGCCCCTTAGTTGCACTTACTCAAGTCCACTTTGCGCATGCACGCACAGAGTCGGGAACTCCAGCTTTCACTACCGATTCTTTTGAGCCTCAGTCACGCTGCCCATATATCATACAACAGGCTCGGTGTGCACTGCAGGCATCAAGAGAGAACTACCTGCAGACATGCCTCAAGCTTTATCAAATCATCTTCGAACCTGCTTGCAGACAGTTTTCGTATGACCAATATGTGACCATCGCACAAAGAGAGAACACGCCCCAGACAGTGTCTCCAGACTGTCTTTTGTATGATGTAATAGCAGACTAGCCGCAGCGCCACGTTCGGCCTAATCAACTCGGCCGTATATGCCCCGCACCCTCTGCCAGGCACTCGAACGGAGGCGGAATCGTGGACGAGTGCTGCCGCAAGGCATGCAGCTTCGCCACGCTGGCCAGCTACTGCGCCCGGCCGTCGGCGGGCTCCAGCCTGGACGCCTTCAACATGCTCCTGGCCTCCCCGGCGGACGAAGCTAGGTCCTCGGAGAGTGCGATGCAGGGCGACCAGGCGGTCGAGCCCACCACCGAGGCACCGAGTCCGGTCGAGTCCCACGTCCAGCACGCGCAAGAAGTCAACCGGGAACACAACGAGGTACGCTGCATCTTCCGTCTTGTACTTGTGACACTAGGGGCGGAGTGGCACATCAAGTCGGGTCTCAAGCGCTCGCGTGACCTAGGCTCGGCAGGACTTCGTTCGCACATTCTAAGCTAAGACGATGATTCTATAAAAAATAATGAGGTCTGTCAACAAATGATAGACCGCACGCCCAGATGGGATTATAACGGCTGATTGCCGCCTTCCTTTATTGGTACCCCGCGAAGTACTGTTGCGTTTGGTACGGTTCTGAGGAAGTCATGACAGGTAGCGGGCCAGGAGTTGAGCAGACTAGCAAACTCTTTTAACCGCAGAAAGAAACTGGTTTAATTACATTGTTGAAGATGGTTATTTACAGTGGGCAAAAATACACACTTTTCGCCGAAGCGACATGAGCGAACGAAATCAAAGCAGAGAGCTGGGAATCATCTCTAAAATGGATTGCATGCATGTTTATACAGCCTTGTTGTTGTATAAGCCTCAACGGTGCTCTTTTTCGAGGCACGCTGCTCCTTATATAGGCACACTTCTCCTCATGTCCCGTTGAATGGATTCCATGCATCAGGGTAGAGAGCCAATTACGGTAAACGTTCAGTTGGTCATCCAACAAAATTTATGCCGGCGATATTGTTATGAAACTGGTTGGTTTCCGAGTTGCACGTGCAGCAGGGCAATCTCAACACACCACGCCGAAGTTAGTGCAATCGCAAGCTATACGCCTCGCAAGTGGGCTCATTTTCGTCTTTTGCGCATGAGAAAGGAAGTAGCGGTGACTTTCAGAACGCCGAGCCCTGATTGGCTGATCGCGTCCCTCTATCTGAGCGTCATCTGCTCCTTTGCAACGTCGTCTGCTCGCAACGTCGTCTGCGTCTATCTTACCTTTCCTGCGACTTTCGGGAGTGCAGGAAAGGTCTGACCTCTTTGAAAGGCAAAGGAAAGGTCTGACCTCTCTGAAAGGCAAAGTCGAGCGAGCTCGACTTTGCCTTTCAGAGAGGGCAGACGAAATAACTCGAGCGGTACGTTGTTTTTGTCTCACTAGCAGACGTGCACCACGGAGAGGAGTCAAAGGACTCACTGGCGAGGCGTCCCGATGCACCGAGGTTTGTTTGCAAAAAAGTGAGAGTGAGGTGGTTAGTGTCCGCAATATCCCTCCAATATACTTTTTTCCTCCTTTCGTGTGCGGCGAGACTCCTCACTCTTTAACGGCGTTGGCGGGTTGGCGCGGTTAACGTCGTCTGCTTTACGTCTGCTAGTCAAAGCGATGGCTGCTTTACCTTTCCTGCGTCTGTCGGAGATTCGCCGCTTTTTCACCGGCGAGAGTCACCGTTGCCTCGGGAAACAAGGAGATAACAAGAGAAAGAAATTGACCTCTTAATCTAAAATTGAGGTCAGCGATCAAAGTATAATACGGGAAGGGTTCACAAGGGTCGCGCGGGCATATTCCATTCAGCACGCCAGCCGGTCGTGGGCAGACAGACGGTCGTCGAGTCGCGGAGTGCCTGCTAGGCCTAACTGCCGAACTCGCTTGGTCGTTGTCGGTGGAATCGTGGCCGTTGGAGCTTTTTCAGGGTGTTTGTGGATCCAGCGTTCTGTTCGTCGTGGTCTGTTTCAAGTACTTTTTTCTTGCTGCTTGAAGTCGGGACGCATGAGAAGCGCACGTAGAAAAATAAACGTCCGTGGGTCGTCGCGACCGCGACGCTGTTGGCCATGCTGATTTGATCGTAAGAAGTGCGTAAGACAGTTTCGGAGATGTCGTAGGATTTCGTCGTAACCTGCGCAAAACTTACGAAAATTTCGTTTCGTGAATACGGATTTGTCTAACGCACATTTTTGGCGTAAGATCGTTTCGTGAATCTGACCTCTGCACTTCCGAAAGTCGCGGGGAAGGTAAGACAGACGCAGACGACGTTGCGAGCAGACGACGTTGCAAAGGAGCAGACGACGCTCAGATAGGGGGGCGCGATCAGTCAATCAGGGCTCGGCGTTCTGACGTCACCGCTACCCCCTGCGCAAGAAGCAGACGAACTTGCCCTCCGCATAGGTCAAACATAATTTAATGAAAAAGATTCTAAAAAAAAAATTCTAGCTTCCCTAACCCCTTCTTTCTCACTCACCCCCCCCCCCCCCTTTTCCCATTTTCCCAGACAAAAATCCTGGGTGCGCCAATGACGGCGTCAACTACACAGATTTCTTGTTTTCCTCCCGTGCATAGGAATAAAATAGCTTCTTTCTTTTCTTCCATTTCTTTCCTAGAAATCTGCATTCACAAAATTTGAGTGTGATCAACGCAGAACCTAAAAACATCTGAGTGAAAAGATCCGTGCCACCCTGTTCACTGGTTTAGTTCTCCCTAAAAGGAACACTGTTACGTGGGGAATATAAAAACACGAGACGGAAGAGCAGACGTTACTCCGTCCCACCTTAAGATGAACTGCAGCAGACGCAAGGAGCCATCGGCACCAATCGTGCACACGCTGACCGCAGCGACATGCGGTCGATTCTACAAGGCTATGAGCACGAAGTCATGCACTCATAGACACGCACTCGGACGGCTCAACTGTCTTCCATATGAGAGTGAACAAAACAACATCCCTCCGGATAAGCGGTTCAGAAGAAGATTGTTTTCAGTCACCGTGGAGCCCTACCTTTATTTGGTCAGCTTGAAATGTCTTACATCTGAGGCTAAGGTTTTGCTATAGTTGTCCCTCAGATGAAACGCAACGTACCCCCGATCCCCTGAAAGTTGCGTTCTCGATAACATTATAGTTTTAGTATTTCGTAAAGACCTTTACAAGAAGAGCTCTTTGGCCGCCGCCATTTTGCGACTCCGGCGACCCCTGTCAGCCAGAAATTTCTGCCACACGCCTAAACTGTGGAAACCCGGTCAGCGCGACTCCCCGCCCGCATTGTGCAATCGGAGTTCGCCGGCTTTTCTTGAAGCTCTTTTTAGTTTATTTGCCTGTTCATGATGCTTACCCTTTCTGTGTTATCTTCCACCGTGAGAACCAGGGAATACCAGGGATCGTGTCCTGATTGGCCTTCGCAGAAAACGAATGAAAAGTGCAAGCGTCACGAGCCCCGCGACGCGGGCCGTTCGCCGTTTTCTCGATTATTATTTCCTTTTAGATAATCTCCGAAAAGCCTTCCCGGCTATGTACCCGACGTTCACGAAAAATAGCTGATAGGGTCGGGTTTGGAGCATGGGGACGGAATAGATACGTCCGTTACGTCCGTTCATTTCTTTGGTGGTGTGCAAAAAGCAGCTCTCTTCAAAACATGCCGCAATGCAAGTCGGATTCCGTCCGATCGTCGTGAGGTGATCGTCGTCGCCACTATATTAGATATGCTGCGTTATTTGAAATCTGTGTTGCAATAAATCCTGTTCGGATAACGCGGCACCGTGGGGTACGTACAACATGTTGTTCGACTAATGAGACTCGTTGAATTTCATGCTGTGAGCGGAGAATACCCGCGCATTTCGGCTGTCCTGTGTGATCAAATATTTTCTATGGTTAAGACGTTTGTAGTTTGATACGGCCGAGTGTATGGCGTGGTAAAAAATTAATATAAAATGAAACAAACATTCCAGTTGCTTTTGCTCCGTCGCCCACGGACTAAAAATAGCTTTCGTTTGTTTTTGTTTTTTTCCCAAAACTAACACAATGCTTTCTTTAAAGCCGCAATAAATTCTATTCGCCATAGAAGGCAAAAGAAATAATAAAACGCGGAAATTTAGACGCTATCATTGCCCGGAATAGGCTGCCACAACCTACTGAGAAACAAAACCCACAGCCCATTCAAGGCCGCAGTTTGGGCCCCGCGCACGCGCTGTGGGGAACACGCAACGCAAACGCACGGCGCTTGCGTTCGCTTGGTTACGTTATATTAAAGTTCAATATTATCTGCGTGAAGGCAGTGCCAGTATTTAGTAGTAGTTTTCAGGAGGGCGCAGTCGATCGAATGTATGCCAACTACCCCTGACTCGGTTTGGCTTCTCCGCAGAGCGGCCGAGCGTTAGGGAAAGAAGTTTCTCAAGAGGTCGTCTGGTTTTTTTTTTATTTTTTTTTTTTTTTTTTTTTTTTAATTTAATCTGTTATTTCCACTCTCAAAACAAATAGATCAATAATACTCCACAATCGGCCGTATACACAGTGGGATGAGATTGGTGAACAATTTTCTAATTTTGAACCGTGTGGATGTGTGTGTATATATATATATATATATATATATATATATATATATATATATATATATATATATATATATATATATATATATATATATATTTTACCCTGAGGGGCCTTCTAGTGAGCATCCGGCTAAAGCCATTTTTCTCTGAAAATTCAGCATCGGAGCCCCCCTACAGTTCTTGTGTTGCCTACTTCTTTTTTGAGCCTACTTCTTTTTTCCGCGTCCAAGCAACGACTTTTAGCATATCTATTCACACGCCGTTCATTTATAAATATTATATACTTTTGTTCTGCCTCGCAGGTGGAACGCACGGGCCCCGCGGCCGAACGCAGCCGCGGCGACGGCGTCTCCACGGGACGCGTGCTCATCCCCGGCGCCAACTTCCTGAGGTCCCCCGAAGAGGACACGGCGTTCGGCCCCCGGGTTCGGATCGGGACCTTCAGCAGACACCGGCCCTTCTTCTACGTGGTACAGGCCGCCTTCAACGGGGACACCGAGGAAGCCCTGGATGCCTAAGGACACGAACGGACGCCGGCCTCGACGCTACCCCCCGAAAACCTTAGGGTGGCGACAAAGATAATGTCACGCCACTATCGCCTAGAAGACAAAACATGCGCCTCCTTTCCACCCCAAATGGGGTGAATTCCTCCCTCCGAACCAACACCACACCAAACGTCATCACTAGTGGGCCCACGCAGCTTCCGTCAGTGTCGCCGCCAGCGCGTGTTGCAGCGTCTCCCGATGAATGCCATGCTAGCGGGCGGCGACGCCGGGAAGGACGCGCTTTGCGGGGACCCTCGTCCAGCTTGTGCGTTGCCGCTTCTGTAGCGGGTCAGGGAGCCACTAACCATGACATCACGCGCGGGCCTTGTCTTCTAGGTGCTGTTGCCTCGACGCTCCCCGATGCACCTCAGGGTGGCGACAGGGATACGAGAAGGGTGTCGTACTCCGTTTCACTCTAGGGCCGAGCGCTGCCGAGGATTCGATGGAGCGAACCAGGCAGCGCTAAAAGTGCATCGATCGTCACCGCGCTCGTCGTCTTTGTGCACTTGCTATCACAATTATGCTGATCGCGCAAGAAAAAAACACACAAAAAAAAACGTAGTGTCACAGCACATTTATTGTGCACTAGTTCAAATGGTGATGGTAAACGCACGAAGGCAAGAGTCGTTGCGGTGCACGTTTAGCCTTGCCCGATTGTCTCCATCGGTTCGTAGTGTTGGCTGCGCTCATGGGTAGAGTGAAACGAAGCATAAGAGTCGAGAGGCTCGTTCTAAAATCGGGAGATAGCGCGACAAGGAAACCATCGGTGAACTCGGTCGTGCGCATTCGAAATGCCTCGAGTGTTGGTCTAGTTTTTCGCGGGACAGGAAGTCGAAATTTCACGAGGCAAAATAGGCCACCGAACTGCAGGTTTAGTGAAAGCTCGAAACCGCTAGGTAGATGCGCCTGTATTTCCGACTGATTTTAGATCGAGCCTTTGATTTCATAACACCCCATAGGCTATACATGGGGTGTTTGATTTCAATTTGGTAATTCTTTTTGAAGGGCGTAGGAGTAAGACGACTCCCGTCTTGAGAATGTATACTCATACGGCTCGGCGGACATTAGTTGAGGGAATAATCGTCGTGATAAGTTGACCAATTAACTCAAATTTGGTAACTAACTTTTCAATTATTTGTTTTAGGGGTCATGTTGCAATTGCAGCATTCACGGGAAGTATACGATTAGAGGCCAGACCAATTAAAATATTTTTTTAGAGATGCGAGCATTTAGATATTAATCTTAAGTTGTCATTGTTGTTTTTTAGCAAGATTTCAAAATAGCGCGTAAAGAGCATCCTAGCCTATGACCACAATGACGCATGAATGATGCAGTCTGTTCAATCATGTCGTCACAATCTCGGCAAAATGTCCTTGGTGGGTACGCTGACGACGCAGGTGACGACATGACTGAAACGACCACGTCACTCTTCTAAGCGCCATTTTGCCAGGGCTTGCGGCGCTTTTTCTGTGTGCAATTTTTAAATCAGATTAAAAAGCGTGGAACTTTATATATTTATAAACATTACATATTTGCAAATTCTTTTAATAACTTCTAATATGAACTTCCATAAATATTGCAATTGCAACACATGGCCCCTAAACCAATAAATAAAAAGTTGATTAGCAGATTTTATTTAATTGGCTAACTTACCACAACGACGATTGTCTCGCCCTTGTTCAAAAATCTGTTCGAGTTAATATCAAACACATTACATGTTCTACTAGGTAATTTTCAGAGCACCGCGGTCTAATCAAAATTGAGCCGCTATGTAGTTGTCTCGACTTGCATCGTGCCGCCCTTTGAATCTTGCTCAACTAAAAAGAGCGTTAACGAAAACTCAAAAATGACGAAATATGAACAAAATCCACCGAGGTGCTTTGAATATGTAATTTTTCCTCTGGGTTTTCACAGTGCTGAAAGTCAACCAGTTCGCCTGTGTCCTTTCTACGCATCGACAGGTCTTAAGTTACCGGTGAAGTGTTTTCTGTTGTAGCAACCAAGCTCAAAAATCCGCGATGAGTCGTCTAACTCACATTGCGGGGGCAAAGGGAGATTGATTGTGGTGCTCTGTAAATTACCAAGCGTCTCTAAGTCATCACATCTCTAGGCCACGTTCGATTATGAAACTCCCGCAGGCTCTATCCAGGGCCTCCAGAAAAATGGCTTGCTGACCGGGCGCCTGTCGTCGAAAGTGCCGACATAGGCAGTAACCCGTCAACCTGTCGAGTCACAACTTCACACCACACTGGAGCTGCCACGGGGTTCAATAGACGGACGTGCCTTGCAAAATTCTCGAGGAATGAAAACTCGAGTGTTGACAAGCCTAGTTCTTCAATTTGTCGTGAGCAGCCCAACCTAAACACATGTGGCATTACACTGGATATTTGACTTGGTGAGGACTTGTGATCAGTAGCAATTCAACACATAGCACGAAAGGTGTCAATGCAGGACATCGAACCCAATCACATCTCACTTGTTATTAGAAACGCCAAGTCAGCGCGCAAAGAGGCTCATCCTGCTTACCTACATTTTTTGTCACGGTACACCGCTCTTTGGTCTTCTGCATCAAGTGACCATGTTGATTTAGAAGTTTGGTTGTTTTGCCGCAGATGAGTACCACCCGAGTGTCATCACCACAATCATAGTCAATAATATTCTAGAAGAATGGACAGCTCTGGCTCTGCATTGATGCCGCCATTGCTTCTCTTCACCCAACATGTATTTGTTAGTTTTCATTTGTTTGTTTGCCATCGTCACCATCACACTACCATCAGCCAATAGCAACTGGCCAGTGATCAATGTCCCGATTTGAAAAGGAGCATTGACGGCACTTTTTGATGCACACTGGAATAATTTTACCTTGCATAGAATGCGTGCGGTGCAGGAAAAGCCCTCTGACATGTACAGCATAAGTAGGAATCAAAACGCCCTTAATTTTGCTTTTTGAAGAGAGAAAAATTATTGCGATTTAAAACACATTGTCTTATTACTCGTTCACGAACAGTTGAAGCACAGTGCAGTGATAAATTCTGCACTTTCATCACCAAGTACCGATACAGAGTTCCAGAAAACTAAACAAGCAAATGGCACTTAAGAACCAGTTGCCCCACAAAACTTTCTCGTCAACCAAACCATTGCTGTTGCACACATCGTTGCCACCTCAGGCCAAGGGAAGCGTCGAGGCCACAGGAGTACCGCGAGAGATCTACCTCCACCTTTGCCAAACCCTTTCCCTTGCATTCCTTTTTCTCTCTCCCAGCCCAATCCAACGTGTTATTTATTCGGGCCCACACGCCACCTCCTTTCTCATGCTACATCCCACCGAACTAATCATGCACACGTCGTACGCGAGACGGGCAACGCAAAACATTCGGAAGTGAAAAACGATGCAGCAGGATTCGAGGGCGGGACGTTGCAGGTCGCCATATCGAGTTTATCTGTAGAATACTCAGCCCTTCTCCTTATAGGCCCTGGGTAGTGAACAGGGGCGCTGCAATCGGCTGCCGGTCAGCGTGTCTGGTGGACAAAAAGGGCAACTCTGGGTAGCAGTTCCCGCCACGAAACGACTGGACACAAACGCTGCGTACAGGTTCGGCAGGGCACTTGAAGCAGCAAAATAAGCGACTCAAATTAGGTGCAATTCTTAAATCGAAAGAATAAAGCATGTGTTCAGCTTGATTTTGAGCCATCGAACTACCACGGGTCTATCCCACACCTCTGCTATTCAAGCAGAACTAGGGATGTCGGAAACCTGCTACAAAGCCCTCAACCCCCTACATAGGCTAAACAGCAGAGGCATTGGAACAATTGACATAAAAAAGAAGGAATTAAGTGCAAGTACCAAGCAGACAATGACAAATAAATCGTGAAGTAAAAAAATTACAAAAAACACTGCTTCTTTACTATCAACATTTACGAAATATTAAGTTCTGATATTTTTAATAAATCCAAATTATTGTCATATAATTGGCTAAGTAATTTAGGCAGCATATATCTAATCATCTGAGAGCCGTAATTCATTCTTGGCGCGACTATCTACCAACGTTCCGTGTGACGAGTGGGGTCGGCGTGTTTGAAACAATTTACAAACCTAGAAACACTGCCCAAGAAGTTGAACTTTCTCAAACTTGAGCAGTTCAAATGATTACTGAATGAACCAAACCTTGAGGTTTGACAAATGTTAACGACATACCTTAAAGTACATTAGGTTGCCACACACAAGTCCCACGGTTCATTTGAGTGTAATTAAGCTACATGTCACTTTCTTAAAGGGACACTCAAGTAGATTCTAAGATTACCTATTTATGGTGATAAGTCAATCTACATCCCGAAAACCCGAAATTCCACACATGGGCGGCCGATATCTCTATTAAAAATTTAGTCGTGACAAGCCCCTTTATGTTTCTTCGAGTGAACACCAGGGGGCGTCCTTAGACGGCGTTTTCAAGCAATTGCTGTATTACGTCTCATACACCCAAGATTTAAAGTCTTTTGACAAAAAAAAATCCACAATGCGCCTAAAAAAAGCAATATATATATATATCTATTTTTTTTTTTTTTTAATGGAGGTGGTGGGCTATATGTTACTTCAAGAGAAAATAGTGCCCGTGTATTTCTATTGCTGCGACTTTACATTGCCATCTAGAACTAAACATATTATTGACTAAATCCCGACAATGTGCCATCGAAAACAAACGAGCAAGTACTTAAATTGGCAGCCACTGCTAGGGCTGGCACTAATAACTAATAACCCTGTGATAATGACTCGATATATGGCAGCTATTAAGATTTGCACTGAGTGCCAGGCAGTGTACCAAAGGTTTTTAAATGGTGCCCTAGAGGTCCTCAATTTCATCATTTTAGAACTAACTTTATCTACTCGCTTCAGATTCTAGAAATTCCCGAATTACCCACATGTGCATGCTTCTCCTATATGTCAAAAGTGCAATCGAAGATTTAGCACCTAGCAGAGAGCGGAAGACTAATGATCACTTTTTGCTTTTTGCACGGTTCACATGTGCTTGTATAACCAATGGCAAATGCCGACATCACCGACAAAAATTAAAGAGCTAAGTTGTACATAATGTGAAAAAGAGAGGCATATAAATCTTTTTCAATAGCGTTTTCGCTAATTATATATTATTTGAATAAGCGGAGAGCGTACATAAAGCTAGTGTCTCAAAAAACAGTCCCACACCTCTTTAGCACATCTTTAACACCAACAGCAGTTACTAATCACTACCTGGCCACCTTCATCAAAAAGCAAAGCAATCCTATGTTTACGTTTCAAATAGGCCTTTTAGCAAGCTCCGAGAAGAAATAGGACCACCGTAAAATCCGGAGATGACCCACCCCCGAAAGATAGCCCACCCCTATTTTTAGCTTGATTTGCTACATTTTTTAAACAGCGAAAGATTGCCCACTCCTAGCAATAGTAGTGTTGGGATCAATGATGGCCTCGGCGTAAATGCGGCTAGTTCGCTATGGCGAGATGTAAGCAAACGTTGCTGACTGGGAAGTAGTTATCTTTGCTTCGTTGCCCCTCGCCACCATAACACGGTTGGAAAAGACGCGACCTAAAATAGCAATTTTTTAAAAACTTTTCTTGATTGTACATTGAAAGTTAAATCACTCCATATTTTCAGCCCATTTGCTCTTGATGTTAGGTGGGCTATCTCTAGGGATTTTAAAGTAGATAAAACATATAAAGTCAGTCTGCGACCTAAGGAAGCGATGTCATGGGCAAACTCTGGTAAATCCAGATGAAACAGATTGTCGAACATCGCAATGTTGTTAGACGTGAGCAAACCCTGCGCACCACACATGAAGCGCCGATGATGTGGCACGAGCTCGTGTCGGAAACTGAAAACGAATGTCACACTACCCAAGTAATTCTCTAGCTCCAATGACATTGCAATTGTTGAAATGCTACCAGGGACGAAAACGTCTGTCGAAATGTGCAATACGTCTTTCTGCCGCCTGTTCTCATGCCATAACGTAGCCATCCCCTTCACGTCCACACTGTCCCAAAGCAATTGAAGCTGCTCCATGTTTGTTTCCGCCGTGGTTTCTGTAAGCCCACCAAATGTACACCAAGTCTACAATATGTGCAAATGTATAAAGTGATTCTGTTGTAAAATAAACAATTTTTTCTTGTTTTGCATCTTTTGTGTTCGTTTCACCTTTCCTGTACATCTCTCAAGGAATATGGTCCCCTTAATAGTCAAGAGATAAAGAACCAGAGGTGACTTCTCGCTTCCGGCAACCTGTATGTATCAATTATATTGTGCGACTTAGTAGAAACCCATCAGAACTTTTAAGAAAGGCAGAAACTGGGGTAGGGCATTTGCTCTCTAGAGGTTTAGCTGTCACGGCAGGCTACATTTGCGTTAAGCACTTCATGTAGCTTACACAGCAGATGCAAGGGCCCCAAAGATATTGAGCGCAGCAATTTAGATTGGTACGATTGTGTAAATTACGGTAGAGACATTGTGACAACATAGGCATTTCAGGTCAGCGACAGACCTACGAAACTGACCCTTTACAACGGTAGAACACAACATAAAATTCATAGAGCCTGTGAAATCATTATAAGAGGACCTGACCATACTAATTAAACACACCCGACTTGTTCAACAGAATTCTGGGCCTTATTTTACCCTGCATGGATGCAGAAACAATCTTACAGTATTATTAGTGCCACCGGTAGTAATGATCAAATTCAGGGAGGATATACTTAATGGTGTGCAACTGATTGATCGACCTCCCAGTTTCAACAAACAAAAGATGATAGAAGGCAAATAAAAGTACCAACCATCAACTTGAGCTGTCAACAACTCCTCTGCCAGGGAAACTGCAGTTTTCAGAAAAGGTAACTCAGCAAGATGGTGTCAGCCAGTTATACAGATGCGCTAATTGCATCATTTGTGGTTGCAAGCTGTGCCACGCATCTGGCGTCTGCCTCACTAACAAGATCAATCAGGTGAGTAGGAAATCTGGTCTCAGTGAAGCATGAGGCAGTTGGCAACGACCGCCGAAGCCATGACGGTGCCAAGTGTACAAAAACAAGATCCGTGCAATATGCGTAGCTTGCACATAAGGGCGCATTTTGTTCACCTGGCCAAGCGGCAATGACAGCGGATAAGGGTGAGGAAGCTGATATCTCCACACACACAGCGAGTTACCCATTAACAGCACATCAAACAATATATGTGTTGTATGGTTGCGTGGCAGCTGAAGTCGACCGCCCTGCTCCAGTACCAATGAAGAACCTTTTTATTCGATCCTCTTCTTCAGACTACAAATGCGACAGTAGCGCCGCCACAAGTCCCATTGTGGGAGACTGCGTTGCCGGCATCTCCATCGACCTCGCCGGCACTGGGATGTCCCCTCATCAGTTCGCCCAGTTCAGTGGCCATGGAACCAAGACGGTCTGCCAGACAGACCTCCAGACCACAAAGATTGCGGGATTTTGTTTTATATTAATGTTCTTGTTTGTAACGTTGTACATAGCATTTCCTTTTTATTCTTGAAGGGGGGAACTGTTGTGGCGGCGCTACTGTCGCATTCATAGTCTGAAGAGGATCGAATAAAAAGGTTGTTCTTCACCGGTACTCGAGCAGGGCGGTCGACTCCAGCTGCCACGGCAGCATACAACAATATGCACTTTAAATGACATCACTAAACTGGTGAAATCATTAACGTTGTTGACTTGCATGCTTCAGTCCTAAGGGAAATGAAGGGACATTCAGTGAACAAAAGGTAAGGGCGGAAACGAGCTGGTGGTGGTTAAACATTTCGACAAAAACCCCGAGACTGGGACAAAAAGGGACGGCCAAACACAAAGTCTCAAAACTTTGTGTTTGTCCATCCCTTTTTGTCCCAGTCTCGGGGTTTTTGTCGAAAGGGAGATTTTTTTTTTTTTTCTTTTCTTTTGCAAACTGCAGTTTTTGAGGTAATAAATGGCATTCTCGATTGCAACCATTCTCAGCTTTCTTATATGGCACCAAATACCATATAAGGCACTTTCGACAAAGCAGAAAAAAAAGGCATCCTCTCCACCCCCTCCCCCTCCCCCCCCTTCCACCCAAAGACTGCGACCCCGCATCTTCAAAAGTGAGAGGAGGATGCACAATTTAATGACTGTCGAGACCTCCACACCAGAAGGGGAGGACCTGGCACTGCAATCGTGCTGTCAAACCCAAGCATGCAGGTCTGCAAAACATATTTTTACTGAGAAATTTGTGGTCAACAAAGCCCACAAATGCACAGAGATGAATGACATCAGCTACCGGAAACGGCCCCATTTGATCAATGAAAATTTCTGAATATCAATCATAACCTTTGAATTAGGTAACATCAAGTTCTGGAACTTTGACACCTGGTTCAGACTGCCAGTGCTATGTTTCAGCGTAGACAGAGCAATCGCTGGTGCGCGATACATTTGTGGAGTGAACAACCACTGTCAAATTTTTTTCTTACAGGACACCCTGCCTTTTGCCTTGATAACGAATTTGGTAACTCATTCCATCAGAAAGAGCATGGTCATTTGATTTCCACCACACACTACTCAAGGTAGACAATGCCGTAATAGAAACGAGACTTCTTCCGCTTACTGACCCCTCAATTGTTTCGGACGAGTCTAGCTTGTCAATGTGGAGCCAACCCTTAAACCATTTAGAACAAGTATAGCTTGTTTGCTTTCTCTAGCTCACACACTCCACCCATTTTGGACAATGCACGCTCGCTCATGGCTTAGTTAGCGGCTCTGCAAATAGATGGCACCACCGACTTCTTCAAAAGTTTGGTGACATTCATTTGTGGCTAGCAATTTGATTTTGAAGACAATTAAGCAGTCGAGGGACAATGATTTCCAAGAACTATACTCAGGAGATAACTGTCTGTAAAAATGAAGTGAACGCTACGGCCGTTCATGCATTCGCACAGCTTGAGCGCAGATGAAAGCTGCACATGCGCACTTTTCCCTTATGGACTGCCACAGAAAGTTCCTCTATTATAAAAATGGTTTAAGGGACATATGCAAAGGAAAAAAACGTTTTTTGTAAACAGCTTAAATGGAAAAAGGATGTTATAAAACGATCTTACAACAAAGAAAAAAAATTTTTAGAGCTATATTTACGGCTCTACACAAATTTGTAGTTGGCGCACGCGGGTGCCGCGGAAAAGTGGCCCTTATTTATCACGTGGTGCTTGCGCTCTTTCGGAAGCTTCCTGTGACCTCTAAAAGTAACTTATTCATCTTTAATTGAAGTATAACAAACAAAACTAGGATTAATAAGTAACTTTTAGAGCCCAAAGGAAACTCCTGAAAAAGAGCAAGCAGACGTGATAGACCTGTGGGCCGGTCAGATGATGGCGGCGGCGGCGCCCCGAAGCAGACAAACTTTCGGCGGCGGCGACAGCGGCGTGGAGAAAGGCGTTGAAGCAGCATCGCACAACGCTCAGCGTGCGGCGGCGGCGACACAGCGAGCGGGCCTACCCCGTGACCAGCGGCGGCTCCCGCGAGCACAAACTACAAATTCGTTTTGCGCCGTAAATATAGCTCTACATTTTTTTTCCTCGTTGTAAATTCATTTTATAATATTCTTTTTCCATCTAGCCTTTTTAAAAAAAAAAGTTTTTTTCCTTTTTAAGTGTCCTTTAAACATACCTTCAAAAACTGTGTCGCTGCAAAAAGACAGGGAGCGAACTCTGCCCTAACTTACACACTTTATTGAAACATGCTGCAAGTGCCGCGCCTAGACCTGGTATCCCACGAGGCTCCTCTTGCCTATGCACTCGCCGACAAAGAACCAGAAGATGACCTCCAGGCCCACGAGGGTGTTGAGCGAGGCCTCCCGCACGGTCAGGTGCCTCCAGGCGCCCGATTTGGCCGAGGAGACCAGGTTGCCAAAGCCACGCATGACCTCCGGCAGCTCCCTGGGCGAGGGCGGCACCATCTCCACCTTGGCATACTTGACGAACGTCTGCAGTCGGGGAGTGGCGCCCTTGATGACGGCGTTGGTCAGGGTAGTGATGGCTTTCGACATGGCTGGTCGTCTGGCGAAGTTCCCTGCAAGGTGGGGCACCAGCATCACCCTTTGTACTCACCAATAGTATGGAACGCGCCTCTGACTGGCATGACTTCAATGTCCAAAAAACTGCTCCCTCCATTTCCACCCCATGACATCATACAAGTGTCGCATTCTCGCCAGCCGTGATCGTGGCAGCGTCACACCAGCGGAAGCAAGTGTGGCAGACGCCTGTTCCGCAGCGGATCACTCTCCTGCTCGACAGTCGACGGAATTTGCAGCAGCCAGGAGTTGGGACACCGCAACGACGGCGACGCTCGCATCTGCTCATGCTCTTTGCCGGAACTTCTAAGACCAACAAACAGGATCACGACATCCGACAGTGTGACACTTTGGCTTCTCCAAGGTCATTCGTTGCCACATGGGGACCACTTTGGATGTATGGGCGAAATAGGATGTTAAACGCACCGGTCAGAGACACGTTTTAGGCACTGTACCTATGCGTTGACATTCCGAACCCCCAACAATAGGCGCTCCCATCGACCACTTAGCCCCGGTATGCCATCGAAGCTAACGGGAATTGCGGCACACAGTTTCTTGGGCTCGGGGCCTCTGGCATTGCAGCTCTGGCTCGTCGTGGAGCAGCCAGCAGCACGAAGGGAGAACGTTCTGAGGGACGCATCCAGCTTTCCGGTTAGTGAACACTTCGCGATCAAACTTCTTTACGACTGACCATTTGAAAATCGTACACTTTGGACGTTGACGGCAGCTGCCAGCGTATAGCACTGCTGTGATTTGAATAAACATGGTGACTGTTTTCAATGTGACTATTGTTTGACTGGCACTTCCAGGGCATAAAGAAGCGTCACGTTGCCAAACCCATTTCCGTGGTCGAGCATCATCTCACAGAGTTGGAGTCCCAAGGCCCAAGCCCACATTGGGAACCCCACGTCACCCCAACTCTTTCACATCGCACTGGGAACAGATGCATTTACGTGATCGCATTGGTTCAACATTGGCGTTGAGGTGTGCAGTACCCACGGTTGAACCCATAAAAGAAATAAGCAATGCCCTTGTCACACTTACAAAGTAAGCTATTCTGCAAGCACTTCTCACCGACCCCAATCGCAGCTGAAATGCCAATTACAGGCTTTGCTCGGTGACACTAATAAGGTAACCCGCCAGTTGCGAAATAAAGAGCCAAAAACAACAGTAAAGTTTTACCAGCCGATAGGGCATCGGTGTTACAAGAGCCTCTGCAAATGACGTACAGCAAATATTTAAGCAGCGTACCCTTGTGCCAGAGGTAACATGTAAAATGTTTACAGTTCAATCTTGCAGATCGAACATTGGAATGTGCTGGAACCCCCGTCTTAGCTCGCCACAAAGGAAGGAAACTGCGGATACCAAAACTACGCCCTTTCATGGTCAAAGACGAATGTGACTTGTCCACTGGCACATAAATAGAAATAATCGACAGGTTTTCTGCACTCCAAAGAAAACAGCTATGCACTGCCGAGCGCTCGTTCTCTGTCTAAACGTAGCACCAGTGGTCCAAACCACATGTTAAAGATTCAGAACTAGCCTTTATCTTATTCAGAAGTTACGAGTAATTTTCTTAAATTTTCAATGTGAAAATGGCGGCTGACGAAGTTTTCTAATAGAGCTAAATGGTGCCAGTTTCCGAAAATAAGCAAGAACGGATGTTTTCATAGAAATTTTCAGAGTCACTTATAACTTTTTATTGAGATAATGGTTAGTTCTAAAATTTTGGCATCTGGTTGAGACTGCTACTGTCACATTTTGGGTGGAGAATGAGCTTTTGACAATGCAGTTTATTTTTCAGTCAAAAAATCCCCGTAAATGTTTTTTTTTTTTTTTTTTTTTTTTTTTTACATTTTGTAGTATGTTTACACTTCTCAGGAGTTTGTGAGCATAAGGATGCACCTCTCTGTGTTCCATTATAGCATAACTTGGCTAAGAGTGGGTGCTGGGCTCCTCCGAGCCCAGGAACGAAGCGATGCATGTGACGGTGCCTCACAGCAACGCCAATTGGCTCGTTGGGACTGTAGCTTTTTCACTTCGACAACTTATGCTGAAACGAAGTAGAGAAAGGCACAATCTCAAACTCTGAACTTCTTGAGACGCGCAAACAAAGTATTCGCAAATCCAGCGACCTATAGGGATTGCCACTATCGGGCAAATATGGTGGTGTTGAACGGGTCGTGCCGTGCCATGCTTCGGCTCAAAGCAGACCACTCGGGTTTCGTCCAGCAAGCATTGAACTCAAAATGGTTTGCCCAGATTTTTATACACTATGTTTCTGCGGTGATGAGTTGGTATAAACGAGCTTCCAGAGACTCAACCTTCTTCAGGAAAGCGATGGAAGGACTGCGGTGCCGAAGAGCGTCGATAAATGCACAATGTCTGGGTCACACAATAGCGTAGGTTGCGTTAGAGCGATGTGGGCAACAGTGTTGCGGAGTTGCTTTCCGGAGTTGGAATGATTCCGGAATTATTCCGCATTTTCGCAACCCCGGAATGGAATGGGAATGGAGTGGCGGCAACATTGAGGGGAATGGAATGGGCATGGAATTAGATGCCTTTAATCTGGAATGGAATGGTCCCGGTTTTTTATTTTTTTTGGGGGGGGGGGGGGGGGGGGGGGGGGGTGAGGGAGGTGTACTTTCAGCTAAACCGAGCCAGTCAGCGAGTCAGTTGCTCAGAAATAAAATGAGCGGGAAATTGCTAGCTTGCGTGAAGCCCTAACATATGTACATAAGCAAAAAAATGCAATACAAAAAACAAGCGTCAAAGCAAAGACCAGGGGGGGGGGAGGGGGGGGTGGCGGTGGCGCCTTTCACGGACGCGCAGGCGACGGGCTTCACTGGTGTCACACGAGAGCTAAACAAGAAACCAATCACCAAGCAAAAGAAACCAAGGGAGCAGTAAAGAAATAAACCGCCATGCACGGCTCCTCATCATCCTTCTGGTATTGATTTTTTTTTTTTTTTTTTGCGACGGCATGGAGAATGCGCACGCGCGTACAGACTGAGATATGGGAGCGGGGAGCGACTCATAACTCGCATAGCTTTGATAACTCGTTGACTCGCACGCCGCCGAAAGATGATCAGTTATTGTTTTCTTATAGTTCGGGGAGCATTTAGCAGGTGGCCAACCCTGCTGCCTTCAACGCTCATTCGCGCACACTCCTTTGAAGTGCGAAATCTGGCTTTGCTTTGCCATTAAAACAAAGCGAGATTAACTTCTCTCTTCTCCTCTTGCACTTTGCTCCGACGCTTGTTTTTTTGTTTGTTATACTATATCTTTATGTGTAGGTCCGCCTTCTACTTGGTCTTTGTTCCGATGCTTGTTTTCTGTGTTATATGTTTTGCATTCAAGTGGGTTAGAGTTACAAGCAAGCTAGCAGATGCTCGCTCATTTTCTTTGACTTTAGTCTCTGCATACCTTGTTTCACCTTCAATGGACCGCTGCAGACATTTCGAGTCACCCCGGGCAATTTAGCACCGTGAGCTTAGTAAGATCAGGGCGTTTTTGAGGCATTTAGACTTTTTTTTTGCAATTGGCTATACCAGGGGGGGCCAAGCTGCGGCTCCCGAGCCGCATGCGGCTCTTCGCGTGTTAGAGTGCGGCTCGCGGCTTCCTCCCCTAGCCCCCCCCCCCCGTCCCCTTCCCCGGTCACATGAGCACTTCCCCAAAACGAGAAATGAAACGCGTTTTAAATCAAAAGACAGGTTGCGGGTTGGCAGTCTTGTGCTACTGCTACCTTACGTACAGTTTGAACTCGGATAGATTGAAAGTCATTCGAGACTCGTTTATTGCTCTCGACAAAAGTTTGCTGCCCCCCCCCCCCCCCCCCCCCCCCCTCCCCCGCGGCTCTTGGAAGTTCCGCGGTTTTGTTTGCGGCTCTTAGGCTGGGCCAGCCTGGCCACCCCTGGGCTATACGTTTGATAATGTCAGTTTTATGCTGCTTATGCTGGAAACATTGTGCACTGTAGCTGTCAGGTGCCAATTTATACGTTTAGGAATTAGAGGAATGGAATGGAACGATTCAGCCATTCCAGGAGTGGGAATGGGCCCAGAGTCCCCCATTCCTAGGAGTTGAAAAGAATTGAATTATCAAAAACTGGAATTCCCGGAATGGAATTGGAATGGAATGGGGGTACCCATTCCGCAACACTGGTGGGCAACCCACTTGTATGACAGTAACAACACAGAAACACCGGAACAGTAGACCGATCTCACCAAGCGTTCAGAGCATACGTGACGCCGCCATAACTTTAGTTCACAGGAGACAAACAACAGTGCACGAGAGGGCTCGTGCTTTACACGCGAAAAGCTCCAGCGACGTTCTCGCACGTGCAGAAAGATTAAAGTTTCCTCGATGCATTGCGGCAGTGGTGGCGTAGTCAAACTAGCCGAGGGTGCCGTTTCCTTCAATTCAGTGTTTTTCCACTAGGTGCCATTTGTTTTGCTGGAGTCGCGAATATGTACCAGTGTGTAGAATGATTCTGTCACAGTCAGATGCTCAGCAAGACCTTTCAGAGAACACTGAACGGAGTACAATTAAGCTTGGCTTCCATGGCACAGAAGATGAGTCAGATTTCATACCGCAATCTTGACGCTCAAGACCGCCTAGATTTCAAAGGTGCTTTGTTCATAACCCTTTTTTGTAATTGCAGGAACTGTACTGCTGCTATCTATGCAGAATACAGGTAGATTTTGTGTGTGGAGGACCCCCTAACACCACAAAAAATACCTTTTGTCCCATCCACAGCACTAGATAATGCTGTCAAATGTATGATTTTATCGATTGGTGTACGATTTTATCGGGTGTTGTTTCAGAAAAACTCGAAACGTGCATGAATGCCTCGGCAGAGGCCTCATGAAGCGTACAAAAAGATTGGGCATGCAGTGGTCGTGAAATGACACAAAAAAACATAAACAACACAACATGAAGATCAAGTTCTGTGTTGTCCTTTTCTTGAACCCCGTTTCAAATTTTTAGACTATAAGAGGACGAAATCCATGCAAGTAATTTCACCTCTATAGTCTCAGGGTCAATGTCACCATTGGGGGTCAACCAAAAAGCCCCTTTTGACAGTGGCCGGATGACCTTGCCCTCCTGTGCTCGTAAAACTATAAAACATTTTTTTGTTGTGGTGTGAACATGGGAGACAAACTTGTTTAGGTACAAACGCACCACACGACCACCGTGACATTATCAAGCTCGGAAAAGATTTTCGCTTTATGCATTAACGTACCCCACTGGCAATGGCAGAGTCAAGGCACTACTTTGGTGATCGAACGGTACAGCACCGTAAACCGAAGTCAAAACTTTTCTAGGCACATCAGAATCAGAAGTCATCTTCGACCACTGGCGACTATTCATAGCGAGAGGAACCATCCCTTTTTGCAGTGAATTTTGTATTAACGCTTAAATAAAGAACACAGTCTGAATTAATAATCCTCAACAATGCAGCGTGATGAAAAATATATTTATTTGTTATTTATTTGTTGGGTCAAGCTAGATGCAAGGGCGGCTTTTCGCGACCATGCAGCGGTAAAGCCCCGAGGCGTTTCCAACGTAATTAAGGAAGACAGTGACCTGTTTGATAACCGGAGCACTTTCACAACTGCATTTCTGAACCCAAAGATTTAAGTCCGTCGGTTTGCTTAGCATATTTGAGGAAATAAAGAAAAACTTACCGCAATCACCGCAAATCCGTTCTTTCGTCCTTCGCAAAAGGGCAATGTGGTGCATACAAGCCCTGCAGAATACTCACAAAAAGAAGCACTCAAGCGTGATGGCGCCACAAAGCAAAACAACCCCGTTTTAAACATATTATGTATTTTTTGTATCTGTAAAACATAAACTTAATAAGTCTAAAAATTTTAACTTTAGCAGTTTTATATTATGAGTGGTTATATAACTAAAACTAAGTAACAGTGCTATATTTTTTTCGGAGTGAAACCGAAACTTCATTTGCTACTTTTTGCACGGAATTACTTTTGATTATATCTTGCTATCACCGTTCATTTTCGTTTATTTTAAATGTGAATAACAATGGAAATCAACATAGAAATCTAAACTCTGAGACATAAAGAAATAAAATAACGTAACTTTCATTGTGCAAGTGTAGTTCATGCCGTTTATCAGTCTCCGATGCCAGTAAGGATTGAATGTTAGTTGTTTTTTTTTCTCGTCAGTGTGACCGTCTTCATTTTTGAGCCATTAGAAGTACTTTCCAGCACTAGCCTTCGTTTAAACGGTTGAAATAAAAAGGGACCCACTTACAGAGTTTCATTGTGGGCAGCGCCATTTTGAGAGCGATACAGAAAAGGGAAAAGGGCTACCAGCCAGTACCAGCGCTTTCCCCCTCGCTGGGTCGTTCATAGGGCCTTAAGGGGTGTCCAAACAGGAGTGAAAGTCCCGGATGAGAGGTTTCGTCGGCGTTGAGTTTATGCAGTGCCTGAACTTCGTTCGCATTTTCTTCCGTTTTAAACTCGCCAACTTAATTAGAGCCACGGGCTTCGATGGCGACAGTCCCTCAATCATCGGGACACCATGGCTCGGTGATAGGGTGCACGAATAACGACAGAAAGCCTAGAATACTGTCCGAGGACCTATGTAGCTTCCATGAAATCCGGCAAGGCCAGTGCGGCTGCTGGAGCTGATGGACCTCATAAATTTTTGCTTGCAATGGGCTTATTTCAACATAGCCGTTTTTTGTAATCAACAAGCGATACACGATATGGGCACCTCAATTAACTTTTGTAAACACCCGGAGCCGCCATCGATCGTTTTTCTGCACTGCTTTTATCCTGCGTGTCCGTGTTCTAATATTTCCTTGTGGATGAACGACGAAGACATTCTAGATGTCCTAATATCGAACTGCAGGAAGCCTCAAAGCAGCCACCTATTATTTTACTATTTGATGGAATATTTTGAGTACTAACCTCCAATTTCTATCGCTGGCGCGTTCGCTGCCGCTGTTCTGCCCATCGCCGCACTGGCGGATGCCGACTCGAAGGAAGAAACATGCCCACTGGGCTCGAAAATGCAAATAGCAACACACGAGACGTGCCCTACAGTGAATATCCAGTGCTTCAAAGCGCCCAATCAACGGAAACAACCCACCAGCGGCACTCCAAGGAGCGGTTTTGCCGGCTCTCTGGTATCGCGCAGGAGATCGCGATTCAGGAAAACCGATAAAACTAACTTTTCAACAATTTCCAGTCATACTCGGCAGCAGAAATGAGCCTTCTACTAAGTGTTGTAGATGACGAAATCGGGTCAATGTTACCACTTCAAGATATCAATATTAAGTTATATAAATTCAGTTAAAAATTTTACACGCTGAAACAACAATTATTACGACAAAACTCGCATGCACCTTGCAGTTGTATGTTTATCAGCAGTACAGCAGTCGGTGCGCGCTCCATTCACAAAATGTTCCGAGCGCAGTCGGGAGGATGGTGTTGAAAAAACGTCTTATCGGTTTACGGACGCAATCCACTGCCGCCGGAGACTGGGGTCATGTGGAAAGCGATGGAGCTTAAAGACACTGCAGCCGCTCTCGCATTGCGGATTCCTTGCAAGCTACACAGGTCCAAAAATGTATACGAAAGAGTCAGACGAAGAGGACGGACAGGACAAACATCTTTCGACTTTCAACACATTGAGGTCTTTATTGCCAGGCCGACGAGCAACGAGCTGCCGAAGATTTGGGGAAAGGGTTAGTGGGAAAGATTAGACCAGCGAGAGAGAGGGGGAGAGAGAAGAAAGGGGGGAAGAGCAAAGAAAAGAGCGAAGGGGGTGGGAAAGGAAGTAAAGGAGGTTGGGGGGCGCTTGGCGTGGACAGGCATCTCGTCCCAAAAACTTTCCGAGTCAACGCCCACCAGTCCGGGCCGTCAAGGTCACCAACTCCGGCCCCAGAAAGTTCATCTCTCTCTCCGAGAGCAGGAGGGGTTCTCTTCTAATACCTGGAATTCCAACTACAGAGTGATGCAGATCGCACGGAACGAAATTTCACACGAAATCCAAGTAATGGAGAGATCGCTGCCAATTTTAATGAAGAGCATCTTCGGGGAACACTTCGCCGCACACCCCTCTTACGTGTTCCTCCACAAGTCCGGGCAAGATCGGCTGGGCACTTCTTGGAGAGTGGTGCTCGCAGCCACAACCAGAGAGAAAAGAGATAATCTGAGCCTCAGGCTGGAGCCGCCGTTGAACCTCTCCGACACAGTCCTTTCGCCGCGCGCGAAGGCACTTCTCTCAAAGGGACCCAAGTTCGCCCCTTACATCGCGCCGACCACAGTAGAACAACTGGCTGCTGTCCATCAGATAGCATCCAAGATTCCTGAGCCTGCCCGACAGGACTTCCTCGGGAACGGCTCCCGGCTGGTCTGGACACACGGCGCGGCCCCTCCAGCAAAACTGGAGTTTCCTGTGGTGGTGGACGAGCTCAGACATTACGGCCTCAAGCTTCTGGAGGCGGACGAGACTGGTGTGTTTGTGCTCATGAACAAGGCCTCCTATGGGGAAAAGGTAGAGTCCGCCCTCAAGAGGAACTTAGTCGAGCTAAAGAAAAGACCGTCCGGCTCCCTTCGCTCGGAAGCAAGGACCATCTGCAAGAACAACCTCACCTCTCTTGTGACCAAAGTCTCAGCTCCCTCAAAGCAGTACTTGTCGGTCTTCTTCACGGCCAAGACCCACAAACCAGAGACCCCCTTCAGGAGCATCGTCACAGAGAGAGGGTGCTGGCAAAAGCCGGTCGCCCTCTTCCTACTGAAACATCTGACGAACATCCCTCTAGATCAACCTTTCCGTGTCGGCAACTCGCAAGAGATCCTTCCAGCTATAGAACTTCTCCACTCTTCAGGGAAAAAAACATTGATGTTCTCTCTCGACATCACAGACATGTATTACAGTCTTGACATCAAAATTCTGGATTCGGTAGAAGCGATCACAAAACAAGGCCCTGTCAATTATTCCAAAACGCGTCCGGCATCTCTCAACACATTCCTGCAGCTCATCGCCGTCTACCTCCGGTCCACCCTCATAGAACACGATGGAAGAATATATACCCAAAAATCCGGCATCTGCATTGGTTCCTGTTTGGCGCCGGCGCTCAGACTTGTTGTGTCCTCTTCTCTGCTTTTGTCCTCGTCTTTGTTGCGCACAAGATTGTATAAGGTGCTCAGCGAGGTCTATCTCTCATTTGTCGACCAAGCCATTAGAACCCAGCTCGACTGCGTGGCACCGGGAACACAATATACAGGTATGTCGATGACTACTTTGTGCTTCACGACTCCGGTGTTTCCGCAGCTACCATCCAGCAGGTCTTTAAGGACAATGCACGGGGCCTAAATTTTACCAGAGAAGACGCCTCAACAGAGGATCTAGTTCCTTGACTTGTGCCTGATCCCCTCGGCGGAGGGCACCTGTTGAAGCTTCCAACAGCGCTCACGGAAGCCTGTGCTGCCATTTTCCAGCAACCACTCCAAGACGGTCAAGACCGGAATAGTAAAAAGTCTGATCTCGTCCTCCCGTTCCAAGTCCTGCCATCACCTCACGGCCTCCAGCCTGGGTGTCCAAATCGGCCGACTGATAAAGGCCGGATATCCCCGCGACCTGCTGTCGGCCACTCTGAAAAGACTAATAACACAAAGGCCCGCTCCCCAAAAACCTGCTCGACCCAAGTTCGTATACCCATCTGATACAACCACAACACCGCGGACCGTCTGAAAGCAGCCGCCCAACGGTTCCACACCGAAGTTGGATTCACATGTCCGTTCAAGCTGGGCACGATGTGCCGCCTCACCAACAACGTCCCGCCCCCGAAGACCGAGTGCTCCAAGAAGCATGTTGCGCCTTCTGTCCCTTGTGCCACCGGTCGGGTGTATTCGGTGCCACTTTCCTGTAGGGCCGAATACATCGGGCAGACAGGGCGCTGCGTCAATGACCGAATACGAGAGCACCAGAGGGAGATCACCAAAGATGAGGCGGACTCGCAACACCCGCTGCTGGTGCACCTCAGGGTATGCGCCCAGTGTTCCCCCACTTTCCCCACCACCCGCGTCCTGGGGGCGCAAAAGAATCGGTACGGGCGGGAAATATTGGAGTTAACGGCCCGAATTGGCGGGCGTTAGCTCGAAAAGTTTTCGGGACGAGATGCCTCTCCATGCCAAGTGCCCCCTAACCTCCCTTACTTCCTTTCCCGTCCCCTTCGCTCTTTTCTTTGCTCTTCCCCCCTTTCTTCTCTCCCCCCCCTCTCTTGCTGGTCTAATCATCCCACTAACCCTTTCCCCAAATCTTCGGCAGCTCGTTGCTCGTCGGCCTGGCAATAAAGACCTCAATGTGTTGAGAGTCGAAAGATGTTTGTCTTGTCCGTCCTCTTTGTCTGATTCTTTCGTATATATTTTTGAATTTATTACCAACACGCTCAATCCAAGTTCTACACAGGTCCTCGGACAGTATTCAACACTTTCTGTCGTTATTCGTGCACCCTATGATCAAGCAATGGTGTCCCGATGACCGGGGGACTGCCGCCATCAAAGCCCGTGGCGTTAATTAAATTTGAGGGTTCAAAATCAAAGAAGAAAGCGCGAACGAAGTTTGGGCACTGCAGACACCCAACACCAACGAAGCCTCTCATCCGGGATTTTCACTCTTTCTAATGACCCAGCGAGGGGGAAAGCGCCGGTAGCCCTTTCCCTTTTCACTCTCGCCCTCTTTCAGTAAAACGGTCTATACACCTTTTCAAGAAACACTCGACCCCAGGGGCAACATACTGCTTTCAAGCCCTGTCACTGGGTTTGAGGCTAGACTCTCACCGGTGTCCCTGCTAACCCTAACCGGGTGGACTGTGATTTCGATAGGCGCAGTTTAAAACACTGCTCGCGGCTAAATTCTCGGCTTTTCCTACCGTATTTTGTGTTTCATGGTGAATGTACTTTCCTGAGGATATTGAAAAAGCATTGACCAAGTTTTAAAAACAAAAAAAGCAACAAAAAAAACTTGTAAACTGTATTTGTTGGGTATGTGCACGACAAAACAAATGCAACTGAAATATTAGTTGTCACATTTTTCTTTTACGGTAAGTTCTGACAGCGGTGCTTGATTAGCCGCGTGACAAATGACAAGGCACTTAGCTGCCGAAAATAATTTATAACAGAAAATAGCCGAAAGGCGTGCATCTTTCACGCTCATAAATAACATGTTTACCGATGGACAGGACACAAACATAATATTTAGCAAGTGTTAACATTCAAGCAATATATTGTATGTACCACACAATGCAGCGCTATCTTAAAATAATTTATTTGAGAAAGATCTCAAATAACACAGTCATACTCAACAACAGTCGCATCTTGACGACAAAGCAGAATCCAAGATGGCTTCATTGTGGGGCACGTTTTGGGGAGAGCTTCCTTTCTTCACACCAGCATCAAGGCAAAGAAACAAACGCGACTGACCCATCTCCCACTCCCACTTAAAGGGGCCCTGCAATCGTATTTAAGCGTCCGCCTTTTTTGCGGTTTCCACGTCTTTAGGGGTTCGGGCAAGCCAGAGGGCACGGAGAGAGTAACTAAATATCAGTGCAACATATTTTAACCGGACGACGCGGAAACCTCCTCCACCGACGAGGGCGACCCGCGGTACCGAAAGCGCGCGAAATGTGACGTTTTTGGTCCTGGGCTTACTACTGGTCAGAGCCGCTAAAAGCTTCTTTTTAGTCGAAATACAAAATATAAGTGGCGTGAAACTTTTCAATTATTTATAAAAGTAGTTTTTGTTCAGTATTTTAGATCAGAAAAGAAACAAATGCAGTTCATAAAGTACGGAAACAAGAAATGACCCGTCGAATTACCCCCCACCAAGCGGTGGAAAAAGCGACGCATACTAGAAAGGAATAGTGGGATCAGGCGCCGACACGGAAAGGTCCCGGATGTATACGGCGGCGCTGCGGTTGTATACCGGCTCGAGGATCCGACCGGTTCCGAGCGTTCCTAAGGCTCTCGGCGCGGGCTTGGCTGGCGATTTAGCCCTTTAGCGGTATGGCAGCGCGAAGTGGCTCCTGTTCTAAACTGATCTTTACCCCGTGTTTGCTGTCGTTTGTGGCCAATGAAGTGTCATGCCGAATTAGTATTTAATCGCGCAGCGAATGCCATGAGAGCCGCTCTGGCTGCCTGCTGCATACAGCCTATCCAGAGCACGCTTCAATGGCGCCCTCTCGCGCCGTCGACTCGGAGTGCGGCAGCCGTGAGCGCTCAATGAGCTCACTACTTCTCCTCTAGTTCACGGCCACTCTCAAGCAACCAAGGACGTCATGAGGTTATTTTTTGCTTGTTTTTGTAATTTTAATTCCCCTATAACTTTTAAAATAAAGGGAATTTCGAGAAAAGAAAAGTTTCACTAAGTTTCTACGTTCAGTGCGCTCAGGCTCGGTGCAAATTAAAAAATAGTAAAAAGTCATTGCAGGGCCCCTTTAAACAACTATTTTTGGAGATGACTGAGAATGACTCTACGCAGATTATCTTTGGGAGGGGGGAGAACTGTTGTCATTGTTTGCAAAACCGCGTCGAGGGCCGTTCGACATCCTACCCTTCCTTTGTTTCTTGGGAATGTCGAGCAGAAACGCTTGAATGGCAGGCACTTATCAGTCCCTTTCTTACAGTGGAAGATAACACAGAAAGGGTATGCAGCACGCACCTAAAAAATTAAGTGGAAACTTTCAAGAGGGGCCAGAAAACATCAAATACAAAACTGCAAAACATAGGTAGAGAATCGCGCTAAGCGGTTCTTCGCAGCCCAAGAGAGTGGCAGAAAATTTCTAGCTGCTAGACTGCGCGAAAGTCGCACCAGCCGCATCAGCATCAGCAACATGGCGGCGGCCTAGGAGCATTTTTCGGAAAGGTGTATACAATTTGATTATTATAAAAGCCAGATCGGGCCCATTGACAAAGAAATAAAGCTGACAAAGTAACTTTTGCGTCACACATCTGAAGCAGACTCTTTATATCTGCTGCCACACATTCAGCAATGAGAAGTTAACTGTTATGATCGGGGTATATACAGAAGGACAGCCTGTCACATTTTTCATTTCTCTGAAGAAATTGTTATAGAGCAGGCACGTAGCCAGGATTTTGTTTCGGGGGGGGGGGGGGGGGGGGGGGGGGCCGCCCATGACAAAATGCTGTATGAGGGGGAGGGGAGAGAGGAGGTTCCAGCAAAATGGAAAATTTCGTGGGGGGGCCCGGGCCCCATGGGCCTCCCCCCTGGCTGCGTGCCTGTTATAGAGCAATGATCAACGAAAGAACTTCATAAGTGCTTATGATTTAAATGAGAACTGAGATAACACTCCCGAAACTGTTATGGGCAAGATTTCGGATTTTTACAAGGGCGATAGAAACTCCATATGCTCGACCAGGCCATGTGCAAAATGTGATAAAGAGTGCAATCATATCATCAAAAAATAAAGATATAGCTAACTCTTGTCCCTCTCTTGATTACGTAAAACAGAGTCAAAACAAAACAAGAAATGTGGTACGATTGGCACATGTGTTCAGGTACTTCTGGCCAGTGAATTTAATTAAAGCTGGCAAGGAGTACTGACATCATGACTCACTATTGTAATATGATACATTTATGCATGTATACCTTGTGGCAGTGAATGGTAAAAAAAGGCTCAAAACGCAAGTTTTGCCAAAGGTAGAAAAAAATTCATATTGATTTAGGCCAAAAGGCTTCTTTGCAGCACTGAAAAAAGAAAAAAAAAGGCAATCTACAGTATCATCTCATAAACAGCCTACAACAACAAATTTATTTTTAATTCATTTTCATATTTATAAAAGATGATGCTCAAAGTGGTGGAACCACATACATAGTATGTAGTTCCATCACATGATTACAAGTCACATTAGCAATGTTTGTCAGAATCCAAGGTACAAGGACCTGCTGAACTATCTTAATCACAGTTAGCGGGAACATGGGAGAGCGTGGCGCCGGGTACCATCAGAGCAATCTAACGGCCAGGAGCGCAACTGCAGCATAGCAGAGGTGTTGCAGAGGCGTCGCAGTTGAGCACCAGGTCCAATAGTACCCGATGCCATGCACTCCAGTATTCCCGCTAAATATGATTAAGATAGTATTACAATTTATTTGACAGATAGGAAAATTTCAAACGATTCAACTCTTCTGAAAGTGCTAGCCTGTAAGGTTTTAAAGGAATTCATTGATTTGTTCTTCCACCTACAACACATTTTAAAAAAATGTTCAAAAAACTCAACAGTCGTACACTAGAATTGTCACTTGTACATTAACTTGGACAACAAAAAAGAGCATAGTATACAGAAACAGCACTCCCGCCAATAAAAAACACACACATGTTGGACCCGAAAAACACTAATGCCACTCAGTTCTTGAGCAATAAATCATGAGCCGAAGTATCGACGCCTTCTCCTTTTTACCATAGCTTGTACAAAAAACCTACCTAAGTGATTTGTATTAATTCTAGGAAAATATTGCTCCTATCCCAAAGGCAGAAAATTAAGTTATGTCTTTTACAAAACTACTTTGCTTTAGAAATCGCAAGATTGTAAGCCAGCAATTCTAAAAGCGTTTGTTCTACAGCAGTCATGACAATATATTTTAAACAAAAAGCTTCCAGACTAATTGCTACACCCCTATGCTAATATGATGGCAACCAACTGAAGACAATGCAACTTTCTCAGAAAGCTAAGTGCGCAAAATGTTTGAAACATGTTTGTTGACAGTAAGCGCAGTATTTCTCATTCATGACAGTATAACATATGCAGAACCTTGTTGCAAGAAATGTTTGTTAAGAGACACAAGGCTCATTGCCAGAAACCAAGATTTAATGTTTTGAAAGGAGTGCTGCAACAAAAAAATGAAAGCCGTTTACAATTCCCTATAACGCCGGATTAGAGCGCAGCTTTTGAGGAGGAGGATGAAAGGGTACTGAGGGATAGGTGACTCCTTGAGGTCACGTAACCTCAGGGGGGTCGTGTGATGTCAGGGGGGTCGTGTGATGTCAGGGGGGTTATGTGACCTCGGGAGGAGGGGGGTCACGTGACCTCAGGGGGTCACGTGACCTCAGGGGTCACGTGACCTCAGAGGTTCACATGACCACGTGATCTCAGGGGTTCACATGACCACGTGATCTCAGGGGGTCACATGACCTTGGGGGGGGGGGGGGGGGGGGGAGAGGGGGGTTCACCTGACCTCGCGGTTACACCGCCGATGGCAACGCTGCTCAAGTTGGAAACGGGCCCCTAAGAGCTGCGCTCTAAAACAAATGTGCCTTGGCTTTCCAAAAAGGAAATAAAAATCTGTATTTCTGTATAAATGGAAGGAGAGGAAGTGACGAGAGGGGACGTCAGAATACCGAGCTGTGGTTGGAATGATTCTTGTGTAGACGCAAAGCTAGCTGCGTTTATGTCTACTTACTCTTTGAATGTGTTCAAATGCCGAACGCCATGAGCCGACATTTGAACACGTTCAAAGAGTAAGTAAAGACAAAGGCACCCCCATTCATTTTAACCAGAGCTCAGTTTTCCGACTTCCCAGCGCGCTCTCGTCTGCTCCTATCCCTCCATGTCTAATTGTATATTTTCCGCCTTATCCTAGCCAGAAAAGTAAAAAAATATTCCAAGCACATTCCTTGTGGATGAAAAGGCTCGCAACAGCCTGCGACGCCGCAATGCTTTCGGATAATGTCTAAAACACTTGTTTCTAGAGGTAGTTTATACAACCAATCCTGATGTCCAAAATCTTGTTTCTAAGTCTCAAAATTCCAAAAGCAAAATGTTCGCCTTTCAATTTCTGAACTTCACAGCTCTCAAACCAGCAAACCAGGGCATTCATACTTCTTTTCTTACGACAATAAGAATGAAACCACCATTTCTTGGGAGAGAGACCTTGGATATTTAAATTATTATTTCCCAGTAAACCTTTCATGGATTTAAAAAGTCGAAATACACTGATCACGCAAAACATTGTGACGAAACTTACAAATTATGTGAATGAGTGCACCTAGCTGATGTGCCATTAGCATTATCTGGCACCCGTTGATGTGCATTGTAACCGATGGTGGCGGTATTAAGCTTTGGGAGATGTTCTCATGGTCATCATTAGGATATGGGAAGTTGTTGTAGAGTAAACTATGAAAGCTGTAGACAATGTCACCGTCACTGTCGACCAGTTACACCCATTCATGGCCTCTGTCTTTCCCACCGGAACTGGAATGTTCCAACGGGACGAAGCTCTACGGCACAAGGCTAGAATTGTGCTAATGTGAGTTAAAGAGCAGACGACAAGTTCGAACTAATGTCCTGTCCGCCTAATTTGCCAGATATCAATCCTATATTGAGTACATCTGAGATGTGAAGGGATGCCAGCTCGGAGCTCACAAACCACCTCTTCATAATCTACAGTAACTGCACTACCTGTGCTTGCAAATCTGGCACACTTTTCCTCGGGCCACATACCAAGAACTTGTAGAATTCATGCGAAAAGTGGTTGCAGCTGTTTTGCATGCCAAAGGTAGCCGAACACATTACTAAGTTGGTGGTAATAGTGTTTTGGCCAACTATCGTAAACGGGGCCACCCATCAAGAGGTCATGCGACTCAAAGTCATTTTACACGAAACGCATTGGGCGCTGGGGGCTCATCTTTAGCCGGAGCACTCCTTCGACAGTGCTAATATCATAGAGTTTTCCAACCAGAGAAAGAACTTGCTAGAAGTGACGCCTCAAATACAAGACATCTGGGCATCTTTGCTGATGACACCAAAAGAAGCGGACAGTTTGTTGGCAATTCAGTGTACCTACGTTGTCGCAAGTACTAGCGCCACGGATAGCCGTTGCACTGTAGCCACGTCCTCTTGTGCCTCTTGCCCATCTTGGGGAACTCCGCGGTGCAGATTGTGCAGCCAAGCCAAGCCAAGCGGACGTGCTGAGCGTAGTTTTCGAAGAACAGCCGGATGCCGTACGAGTCCGTAGCTACATACCGCAGCGACGGAAGAGCCGACACAAGCCGTCGCAAGTCTTCCACGCCGCTTGGCACGTCCACGCGTTGCTTCGTCCGCAGCGTCAGTCGCTCCAGCTTCTCCAAACCAACGGTTGCCACGCACTTCAGAAACGTGGCGCAAGTCTCTTTCCCGTCCAGATGCAGAGAGACCAGTCCTCGGCAAGCGAGCAGCAGCACGGGAAGCGTCGGCTCGTGGAAGAAGCAGCCGACGCGCAGCTCCCTCAACTTTGGGAACCCGCTGCCCAGTGCCGAGTCGTGAAACATGGGGCAGAGGATCAGCGTGAGGGAGACAAGGTTTTGGCAGTGCTCAGCGAGAGTTGGCAGGTGCACGTCACCAAGGCACTTTAGCGTGAGCTCTTCCAGGTCAAACTTGCGAAGCAGCGACACGACGTACTTGCGAAAAGGAGCGGCCATCTCGATGGAAGCCATCAGCGACAGGCGGCGAATCCCACCGAAGTCCGCGACGCTCGACAGAGATTTGGCGAAGGTGGAGCAGACCTCTAGCCGAGTAAGGTTGGTGAAGAGTTTGGAGGCGGTCTCGACGCTGTCACTGCCGGCGTTGGCGTACATCAGGAGTTTGCCGTCGTGTGCCTGTATTGAACGTCCCAGAATCAGTTCCTGGGTCAGGGCAGCGTTCGGCAGTTCTTCGGCGGCTTTGACCGGATTGGACATGATCCCGATGACGTCGTTCATGTCCGTCTGCCACTCTGTGAGCTGGAACGAGTAACCGTTTCGTAAAATGTTTCAATGTTGCACTTGTGGCTTTCGTAACTAGTCACACTCCTGATTGTACGTGCGTGACAACACCGTTACAAGCTCAATACCCTGACGGGTCCGAAAAGATTGAGGCCTGCAGACGGTTTGGTTAAACTGCGCTGCGAAGGATTACAAATAGCGGCACTGAGATTAGAAAGACGACACGACACACAGAGATAAGCGTAAATAAGCGTACACAGCCCTCGTTCCTCACAAACAGGTGCCGGAGAAGGTAATGGCGAGAATCGTCTCTCTCGAAGTCATTGCAAGTCCCTAAATATTGTACATTATGAGAAGACCCAAATGTGGGGCTGGGAAAACATTTTCCAGAATTATACCGTGGCATATGTGCATTGAATCAAGCAGCATGAGAAGAACAGTAAAGTAAGGTAGCACTTGGTGACCTTGTTCTTCTTCAGGTGGTGTCCAAATTATCAGGGATAGGCACTTTAGAACAACATTTAAAAAACTAATCACTGAAAACGCAACTGAAAGAGCTGACAGTTTGCAAAAGGTAACCTTAAGATACTAGTTCACTCAATTTCAGGAAGGATAGCCACTAGGCTTGCTCGAATGTTCTAATAGTAGTTTTTAACCAAGGAAAGGGGACATGGCCTCAACACAGAGGTCTGCTTTAGCTGATGAAGAACTATGGGAGCTTTAATTGAAAAGTAATAAGTGTACTACGATTTCCGACAAGTAATACCACCTCTGTGATGACTCGGGAACTTTCTTTAAATTGGAAATTTGTACAAATTATGAAGGAAACATTCACTCAGCCTCCAAATTATTGTTTTATTCGCTCCCCACCTTTTCAAACGTTTCCAACAGTACCACACAGGGAAAAACTACCGAATGGATGCATCAGATGGCCATAAATTAATAGTTAGAGCAACAAACAACATCTGGAGGCCAAGTGAATGCTTCCTTCAGTTTTCATGCAAATTGGCAAGTTTAAATAAAGTCTTGTGGTGCATATTATGAAATACAAATGCTCGGTTTATCTCTATCCTACGGATAAAGTAGGTACACACAGAAAGGGTTTCCGAGGCATTCTTCGGTGCCTGTAGCGAAAATTGCACTTTTTATTTTTATTTTTCTTGGGTTATATATTAGGTTGTTTCCTTGCAAACTTTGTCCATTTTTAGGCAATGATGGGCACGTCCTGGATTTCTTGTTTTCTCCCAGAAACCGTTGGAATGCAAATGCCCAATGCCGAGCACGCCCAACACAAACACCAATCGCCGTAACGCCAAACTCTGGCGCCCGGCATACGATGTCTGGCCTCCAGCATTCGTGTTCGAACGGTTAGTAGATACCAGAATGGTAGAGACAAAGCCAGCTAGCTTTGCATCTTTCCACTCATTAGTGGAGCGGTAGAATGCCGAACTCACAATTATGGGATTGTGGGTTCAATTCACATTAGGACATGTTTAGAATTTGCATTCTTTCTTCTCAATTTATCCCTCTTCTGTAGAGACTGTCCTCTAAAGTGTGTGTTGCACATTTTGTAACGGCTTCTATAGTGTTTCGTCAACTTTTCTCGGGGATCACGACCCTTCGAAACATGCCGTGTTAAGAAAAATGTAGTACGCAATAGGCTAACACCTCAGTTTCTGCATCGGTACCCCAGGCATCCCCACACCATTACCTTTGGACACATTTCCTGGATCTGCATCGCCACGTCGTCTAGTAGGAAGAGGTTGTCAATGCCGAGGCCGGGGGTTGTCCCAAGCAGTTCCTTGAGTTGACACAGCTTGTCACTAGACGTGTCAAGGTCAGCACCCCGCTCGCCCTCCACCTTGAGCAGTGTTGCCAACCCAAAAATCAAAAACTGTCGCCTGCAAAACGAAAATTTCTCCCAGAAGACAACTAAAAGAACCGCAAAATTTATTACAAATTGGTGAAACAGAGCGCAATAAACGAGGACAGAGAAAGGAGTAGACGAGATGAGCGCCGAACTCGACGTACACTCCGTGGAAGAATATATGTCGGCCGAATTGGCTGGTGTGTAAAGGACGAAGAGCCTGAACGTGCTTCGTCGCTCGGGTGAACCTCAGGCGGCCACCTCCCTTTGCACTGTGGCACGTGCGGTCAATATTTGACAACGTCACGATTCTAGGGAGGGGGCTGATCATATCGCCAGAGAAGTTCTGGAAGTATATAAGGTAAGAACGGAGGGAGAGGACGTAAGCCAATCGTCAGGCTGATTACATAAAAAAGAGTTTGCCTTTCTGAGCACGTGCCAACACGTTTATGGTGCGGTTGGTTCTTTCGGTGCAACTAGTTTCAATAAACGTTGAAGTTCAGCGCTCGTCCTGTCCAGGGTTCAGCAGTATCGCGATACAAAAGTGTCGCAACAGTATTTTAGAAATACATTTTGTACTTATACTTCTGCATCACAATACAAATTTTCAATTACAATGTAGACCGCATATAACGTATGTCACGGGAGTCGCTAAAATCCGCACTATAAGCGGTACCGCGTTATAACCAAAAACATCAATTTTTCAGGCCAAAATACATGCCATGAGACAACCTACCTTTGTAAAATAATTTATATTATGTTAGATAAAAAATAAAGCTTAGTTTGAGGAAAGTCTTTATTTCACCAGACTAGTACAGTTCTCTCTCGAGTGTGTCACACATTTTGAAAGAAATGAGTGACTTTTGCCTGGCGCAGCCTTTTAACGGCGTCGCGGGTTGCGGGCGGACGTTGTGAGCGTTCAGGATTGCTAACCCTAATCACTTTTCTCAGGCGATGAAAACGCGTGAAAATTCGCATCCTTCATACGGTACGCGCCAGTAATACCTTGAACTTGAGCACACGCATGAAATGCGCCAAATAAGAAATCCGGGCGATGTTCGAGGACACAAATGATTAGAAATCACCACTGTAGTCAAAGTAAACAAACACGACGACACGGGCGTTTCTGCCGTCTTAAGAGTGCCGCCACGACATCGCTGCACGAGTAGGTGGATCTTCCCTTCTAGTACGTGCTGGGTTATCATAGCGACACACAAAGAAAATTCACAGTCAAGGATAGCGCTTTTACGCGGAACGATGAGATGAACGCCGTCTGCGACGACGATTACAACCGACGCGACGCCATGTTTGCGGATAGAAGCAGTTGGCCCGCGACCGGCATGCATCGCGCGCGAACACTTCTCCTCGACCTGCGATTGGTCTGTTGTTGCGGTTGTTTCGAACGCAGCAGAGGGACACGCGCACGTAAACGACACGTGCGTGCGTCCCTCCGTCGCTATGGCAACTCAAGCCTCTCTCTTCGCTCCTCCCCCTTCCTTCGAGCAACCTCCTTGCCCCGCGAGTGCCGCTTGCCACGCTTGCTCGCGCCGTCAGCGCCGCTATCTAGTGTCGCACAGGGAAGCGTGCTCGCTGCTCTGGTCGTCGGCGCGATCGGCGGGCTGTGCCAGAAACCGCACTATAACCGGTAATTCCCTTCGCACGCCTGCATTTTAAGCGGTATGTAATTACATGAAGTTCTATGGGAGGCGAGCCGGTGGTTTAAAAAAACCGCATTATACCCGGTCCTGCACTATAAGCAGTTACGTTGTAAGTGGTCTATGCTGTAGTGTCTGTATTTCAGCATTGGAACACATTTTTCGGATATTTCTTGTATCGCAATACAATCCCGAGCCAATGTATATTATTTTGAGAAATCAAGAACATCAAACAAAAACTAAAAAGACTGTTCTCTCAAGTTACTGGAATAAACTGCACAACCAACAGAACTTGAAAATTTCGACCCATCGGTCTAGTACTCGTTGCAACCTCTAGATATCCTTTCTTGCAAAGATAAAAACTCTTTCTGAAGAAACTGTGGAGCAACAGTCTTCTTACTGTATTTGGTGAAAGACCAGTCACAACCTACCGGTAGCTCGTTCCAAGGGGCAAGTCTCTCTATAGATTTTAGCAAGTTAACACCACTTGTGGAAGGGACAGGAAGGTTGAGAGAGCTACAGATACTTTGAACTCGAAAACCTAAGGGGCGCACAATAGTTGGCTTCTTTTCAAACAATTTACAGAACTGAGGGGTGTCTAAAATACTATAAGCAGGATTTTTGGGATCCGAGAGGACTTTGTAATAATAACACAGGCTCAAGTACTGTCGCCGTTTTTCAAGAGACATTTGATACATGTCCACATACAAGCTTAATACGGGTGATGTGCGAAATGCCCCAGTGGCTAGTCAGAGCCCAAGGTGATGAACCGGATCCAACATCCTTAGTGTGGAAGGTCGTGCCGAACCATAAACAATCACTCCATAATCCAGGTGTGACCGAACTAAAGCATTGTACAACCGTAGGAGGCATCGCCTGTCAGACCCCCAAGATACATGTGACAGCACCTTAAGGATGTTAGAGGATTGCAAGCACTTCTGCTTTATTTCCTTTAAATGAGACTTAAATGTAAGCTTTTTATCAAAGATCATGCCTAAAAATTTATGTTCGTGCTTCACCAATATTTCTGTGTTATACAATTGTAAGATTGAATCCAAAGATAGACCTCGTCGCAGGGAGAAGGGCACACACACAGTTTTCTCTGGGGAAAATTTAAAACCATTTTCATTTGCCCACTTGCTCATCCTATTTATTGTGAGCTGCAATTGCCGTTCACAACTAGAGAGATTGCAAGACGAAAAAGATATTTGCACGTCGTCCACGCAAAGAGAGTAAGAAACGGATGACGGTATAACTTGAGCCAGGCTGTTTATCTTAACTGCCAATAAGGTGGCACTTAAGACTCCACCTTGGGGGACACCATTTTCTTGTAAGTATACACTGGATAAAGTCGAGCCTAATCGAACTTGAAATGTACGTTCACTTAAAAAGTTCTGTAAGCAACGGAGCATGCGGCCACGCTCCCTACAGTTGTACAGATCTCGAAGGATACCATACCTCCATGTAGTGTCGTATGCCTTCTCTAAATCAAAAAACACGGATACACAATGTTGCCGGTGAACAAAGGCCTCACGTATGACGGTCTCAAGTCGGACCAGATGGTCCATGGTCGACCGTCCAGCCCGAAAGCCACACTTGTTAGTATCGAAAAAGTTTTTCTCTTCCAAAAAAAACATAAGGCGGTGATTTATAAGCCTTTCATAAGCTTTCCCCAAGCAGCTTGTAAGTGCTATGGGGCGGCAGCTTGTAGCCAGAGAGGGATCTTTTCCAGGCTTCAGCAAAGGTATAACGTGGGCACATCTCCAAGAATGCGGAAAAGCAGCAGCTTCCCAAAGGTAATTGAAAAAGGACAACAGGTGGGACAAGGATTCATGAGACAGGTGTTTGAGCATCTCGTAGTGAACTCTGTCTGGCCCAGGTGCAGACTGCTTTTTTAAGCTGAGAGCAACTTCGAGTTCACACAATGTGAATGGTTTGTTGTATGCAACAGAGTTAAAGCCTGACATAGTGATTTTCTGTTTTTCAGCGGTAGACCGGAACTTTACAAGCTCCGTACTGTAATTGGAAGAACTACAAACGCACTGAAAATGTTCTGCGAGGAAGTCTGCTAGCCCTGTTAGAGATGCTGAGATTGAAGGAAAAAGTGGAATCCCGAAAGCAAGGTACTGCCCGCAAACTTTTTTGAGACGATCCCATACTTCTTTAGCCGTGACAAAACTATTTAAGGATGAAACATACTTTGTCCATGAAGCCCACTTGGCCCGTTTTTGCGTCCACCGAGCTTGTGCTCTTTTTTTCCTAAACTCGATCAAGTTACGGAAAGTTGGATACCGCCGAAAGTTCCCCACGCCTTGTTCTGGCTTTTCCGAGTGGAAATACATTCCTCATTCCACCAGGGCTTGCACCTCCGGGGAAGACTTCCTGAGGTCTGTGGAATTGAAGCAGAAGCAGCATTTATAATGCATTCTGTAACATAAAGCGTCGCGTCCTCAGGAGTCATATGAAGAAACGAGGAGGGATTGAGTGTAGCTTCTAGACCAAAAATAGACCAGTCGGCCTTTTCCAACTTCCATCGTGGAAGTCGAGTTGGTATCAATGAAACTGGTAAAACGCTTTCTAAAATTATGGGTAGATGGTCGCTGCCAAAAGGGTTGTCTAAAACGTTCCATGATAAGCATGGAAGTAGAGATAATGATGATAGTGATAGGTCGATTGATGTAAAAGTGTTGTGGGCAGCACTAAAAAATGTAGGTTCTTTCTTATTCAGCAAGCAGATTCCAGTTGATAATAAAAGTCGTTCAACAACTCCACCCCGAGAGTCTTGACGAGAGCTCCCCCACAAAGGATGGTGAGCGTTAAAATCACCAAGGATTAAAAAAGGTTTGGGGAATTGGTTGATGAGTGCTTGGAGTTCATGAAGATGCAGCGGAACATTAGGTGGTAAGTAGAGTGACACTAGAGTGATGAGGCGGTCAAGAAGGATGCGAACTGCAACTGCCTCAAGTGAAGTTTGTAAAGAAACTTTGGCACATGCCACTCCACTCTGAACCACTATTGCTACACCACCTGAAGGGTTTGAGGAACGGCGGTCCTTCCTAAAAACTTGATGATGACGCAAAACCTGCGTGTGCGAGTCAGTCAGGTAAGTCTCCTGTCGGCAAATAGCAACAGGGCGGAGCTCATCAAAAAATGAATTGATGTCATCTATGTTACGTAGAAGGCCGCGACAGTTCCACTGCATAATACCTATATGCTTAGCCAGTGCAAAAGTGAATATAAAAACCGGTAAAAAGTTAAATGAGATGACTATGGGCTAAAATCTATCTTCTTGCGCGGTGCGTTTTTCTTCTTTACAGCCTCTTTCTGCTGGCCAGTGGA